GCGCGCCTAATTGGGCCGATGATGTAGGCGGCAATATTGGTTGCGCCGATTACTGGTGCCTTAACTACACTGGTATCTAATTAGGCCGTTCGGCATCAGAGAGGTTTAGATTGAGACAATTGGACTCTGGCAGACAATTTTCAATTGTCATTAATTACGGATACAGGTTTAGCTCGTGGTGGGGACGTGAAGAAGAAGAGGCATTATTGGGCCAAAAAGGATGGGTGACGGTAAGCTTGGGACAATCAGGGGAGATACCTTATCGTAGACCGTTAATCAGGCGGGGAATTGGACACGCTTAATCGTGTATCTCCCTCTCCCGCCTTTGCCGCACCCCCTAATTGGGCAGAAGATATAACGTCGTTACAACATTGAGTAAATTGGGCGCTCTTTGACCTGAGGACGCGGTTGGGCGGTGCAATGCGGTGGTTTTAACAAGGAAAATATCGCCCAATTGTGCAGTGTACATTGGGTGTCTTCTCATGCCCAATTATCCCTACTAGCGCGTTGACATTGGGTTAAAAAAAGGTCATACTGGCCCATCTATATTGGAGAAAAACTACTGAGTGCCCTGCCCACCACTACCTCTGCTATTTAAAAATGAGCCAGATTCAGGTAGGAGAATGATGGAAGGCACGTTGACGGTGGGTCGACGAGCTTCCTCGAAAGGTCCTCGACCCTTTCTGGCTCGGAATTACTATTCAATTATTCGACGACAACTCTGAAAAGAACCTGTATACAAAAGATGTAGAACTAACAGATTAGGAGTTAAAGATAAGTATGAGGAGAAGTCGCAATTAAAGGCAGATAGATATGTACTAGAATCCGGGGTGGCGTTTCGTATCCTTGCATATCGCCGTTTGAGGAGAAACCAGCAGAATGGGAGTGATAATGTTAGCGTAAGGGTCGTAGATGAACCCTCCCACCCGAAGAGCCTTCACAGGATATAAACCTATGAACCTTTTGCGGTGGATATCGGGTAGTTCGGGCAGCGCTTCCCTCGAGTCGTGTATCTCCCTCACCCATTTTAACAGCTGGAACGCAATGTAATACGCCCAGGTAACCACAACACCTGGGTCATCTTTGCCCTTCTTGTAAACGAAAGGTTTGACGACATCATCAAAGGTGCTGACCGCCCAGGGCTTCTCAATTTCTATCTCCCTGACATACGAGGCAAAGTCCAGACGGAGGGTATTCTTCTCGGCCACTTTTGCATGGGGGGTGATGACCTTTTCTACAAGCTCGAGTCGAAGAGAACTGGATATCGCGTGGTTACCGAGCTCTTCTAGTCTGGGTGCCCTCGAACCTCCTGCGTGCATGAGACTGACAACCGTGATGCACGCTATCTCTGTTTTGAACCTTCGAGGAAGGATGTATGCGTAATCCACGCGTTCATTCTCGTTCAATTCTTGAATGGCACGGGGACCAGAAGGGCCGTCAAGTCTGATGAGAGTGTGCGCAGGAAGAGTCAACATATTGACCCCGACAGGAGGGTCGTTCGGGATTGTGGTGGACATGGTCTGAATCAGCGTTCAATGGATGGATAGATGAGGAGGTTGGTGGATGATTCAGCTCGTCGAGATTCCACCTGGCTTATATACGCAGAACCCACTCAAGCCACAACGCGTCCTTCACGATGAGTCAAAGCGGGGATCAACAATTTCGGCCCAGGTAGCCATGTCAAAGCCTATGCCACGGGCGTCAGTGGTAGCGCTTGGCCCATCGAGACCTTTTGGACCGGCGTGTAAGCGATCATGTAATCCATCGTTCAAAGGTATATCCTGTTCATCCTGCCTATCCTTGACAATGCTTGTGTATAAACGTCTTCAATAAATCATCTGTCAAACAAACGTATAGAATTGGGCGAGATCGAACAAAGGCTTTCGTACCTCTGCCTTCATTCGTAGCACGAACACTTCAAAACCAGACAATTCAGAGGGAAGAACACTTCCGCGGTCCTGCGAATCCTTACAAGACGAGAACAAGAGTGAAGCCATGAAAGAAGAAAAATGTATTGAGCGTTTATGGACTTTAGTAACAATGGAAAAAAGCGATAGCTACAATTTCGGATATACGGAAAGAAGCCTGGTATAAAATTACATACAATCGAAAGCCCCACTGACCAATGATACAGCGTTAGAGATCTGGTGGACACGACTGACAACGAGGAACGAGGAAGAAATGAATGAAGAAATGAATGATGTAAACTACACGTGTGGTGAATGAATTGAAAAAAAGAGCGAGCGGAAACATAAGGAAATGCGTACATTGACGCGACAAAGATTCATCGAGATGGTATGGGATCACAACCCTCTATGATCTGAAAAGCGAGCGCGGAAGTCAGTAACGGAAAGAACGAGAAAGCGAAAGGCATAACTCACAGTCTCGGAGTGGTCCAATCAACCCATCGGGACTCGTCGAATCCTCCGTTGTTGGGCGCATCCGTTTTGATGACGTTGGTGTTTTCGTTCAAGCTGCCGCGTAGGAACTTGTTGACGAAGGCGTTGAGCTCGGGGTATTGCTGCCCAGGGAAGACACAATGGTCATGACCACCGACGAGCGACACACCCATGCGGTCCGCGATGCCGAGCGACTCGTAGATCTTGTTGGCGGTCCTCATGCAGCCGTAGACGGATTGAGGGCCTAGCCACGAGTACTGAGTGTTGTCGAGAACGAGAAGGCCTCGGGGAGCGACGAGAGCGGCGAGGAGATGGTGGTCGAAGGGGAGGTTGTTGACCTGGGAGGCGAATGGATTGAAGTCCCGTGCGAAGTAGGCTGTCGAGTTAACCAACTCGGCGGCGGTGACGATACCCTGTCCGTTCCTGAGAAGCTCATCAGCGATACGCCAGCACCCTGCTCCACCAGTTCCCGACTCTTGAGGAATCGTCAGCGAGATACGTTGATCGAAGGCGCCGGCGACCAAGGCAGCCTTTCCAGAGCCGGAACAACCGGTGACGGCGATCTTGGAGGCGTCGATTCTGCTGTTCTGAGTCGAGCCGGCAGCGTCGATGATGCGACTGACAGCCCATGACCAGGCGACGAGAGCACCAGCGGGATGGTTGGAACCGTAGACATCGTAGAACTTGCCCTGGCCTCGAGAGGCGGCACCATTGTCGACAGCGATCTCCTGGTTGTTGAAGGTGATCACGGCGACGGCGGCGGGTTGAGGTAGAGTCGAACCACCGATGGCGATGAAGGCGGGGAAGGGTCCGTCACCAGTCGGGTAGTTGATGGAGGCCGTGAACGAAGTGCTTTGACCACCGTTGGAGACGGAGACGGTCAGCGTATTGCCAGAGAGGGAGCCGGTGACGGTCGAAGGCCGTCCGGGGAGGGTACCGAGTTGGTAGCGTTGGAAGAGGTCGGTAAGTTCTTGGCGTCTGCAGAACCAGTCGTCAGTGGTCGTAACCGACTTGGAGCCGTTGACGAAGGAGAACGGGTTGTTGAGGCGGGTGTTGGGGGTCAACGTGATGTTCTGCGGTGCGGAACAAGCGCCGGGAGTGGGAGGAGTGGGAGGATCGACGGGTGGCTGTCCGGGTGCAAGGTTGGGAACTTGCCAGTTGACCCATCGCGACTCATCCCATCCACCGTTATTGGGCTGATCGGTCTTGATGACGTTCGTGTTCTCGCTGGTGATGCCACGGAGGAACTTGTTGATGAACGCCTGGAACTCGGGATATTGCTGACCTCGAAGGCAGCCTTTCCAGAGCCGTAACAACCGGTGACGG